AACGTTAATCCCAATCTAGATTCATTTGAAGCGGTCATGCTCGCGATGGACGAGGAACTTGCTCGCTCGCGTTCAACGAAAGCCAAACCAACATCTGCCAGACCTCCCCGACCTCAGAAAGCGGACAAAGGTAAAGGCAAGGCCCCCTCCATTCCCGAGGAAGAAGAGGACATCGATTCGGCCCTGGATAACGAACTGAAGGCGGCGCTGAAACGCGGAGACGACGAGGATGAAGATGAAGGTGAAGAAGAGCCGATGGACTACAATCTGATCAAGAACTTTTTGGAGAGCTTCAAAAGTCAAGGGGGATTGTCCGGGCCTGTCAGCACACTCGTTGGTGGATTACAACCGGGCTGGCAGCTTCCCCGGGATGCCTCTTGATTTTTTTCGTTTCTTTTCGTAAAAGTGAATGTGAATGTTCCACCCAAGCTCGTCTCCCGGCGACGCTTGACTTTGCTGAGCACCTCTGACTTCCCCCTTATAAAAAGTCCCTACATAAGCCTATGGATAATATCAAGGAGTTGGCGTACTTCACGATTTATGTTACGTCATCTCTGAATATTTGAATGTCCGTTCTCCTCCGGACTACATGTATACTTAACATCCAACGGCCATGATTCACGCTGTGCTCATCTGTAACGTGCAAACCGCTGGTTCTTGGAGGAGTCTATTGAAGCGCGCCCTTAGTTAACACCTCTGGTGTCGCCCGACTCACCAAGTTCTACACACCGCTTCATCAATCGGCGCAAACCCTTATTCCAAAAATTTTCTCCCTCATATGTTCGCGGCCAGCCAGCCTATGTAACTTCCTGGACGCCCCAGAGCTTGAAGCCTTTCTCGGGCCCAAAGGAGAAGAGGATGAGCGGTGGCGAGTCGTCTATCGCAGCTATGCGACGCTGTATTTCGTGTTTGTGGTGGATGGTGCAGAAAGTGAACTGGGAATCTTGGACCTGATACAGGTTCGTACCATCCGGTGTCGGCCTTGTTTCGTTTGCGACCGCGCCCACAGGTGTTTGTCGAGTCGCTGGACCGCGCTTTTGAGAATGTTTGTGAGCTGGACCTCGTATTCCAGTTCGATGAGGTAGCTCGTGGTGATACACACTTTCAATGGGTCATTCACGTTCCCAAAGGTCCATCATATCCTGGCGGAAATTATACAAGGAGGATTGGTTCTTGAAACTAACGTTGAGGAGATAGACGCTTCGGGTATGTTATATCGTCTACGACCCAGTCTACTTCTCAGGACTAAATGTCAGTGCAACTATCGGCCAAGTTACGAAAGGAATCGTTTGCGTCTGCAAATCCGCTTTCACTAGGTCTCGGAGTTGGCGGCGCGGGTTCTCGAGGCGGGAATCTCAAGTCACCGCTCGGATGGTTAACGGGGAAGATAACGGGAGGCAGGGCAATGTGATTTTGTGGGTAACGAGATGTAATATACATTGGATTCACGGTCGGCAAAAAAAAAAAAAAACATTACGACGTCGGCGCAACAAGGGTTCCTGTCGTACGGTCAACCAGTATTTCAACCACAACAAGTGAGCATACGTTTCCGTTTCTTCTTGCCTGCACCGGGCGGTGCCCGGGAAGGTGAATCTTGAGACACTTGCGGCGCAGGAGCTTGCGCTGCGGGAGGAGGCGCTGGAGTAGCAGAATTCCGAGCGCCTTGACCTGCCGGAGTTTGTGGCACACTCTCGACATTTGTTTCCGGAGCGCTCGCAGACAGTACATTCTTGGAGTGCAAATGCAATGCAGTCGCGTGCATAGCGTGCGTCAGAAGCAAATTATTTTGTGGTCTACGTGGTGTTCAGCGATGATCAGGGAAAACCAGAACCCAATGTTACCTTTGAGGTACCTTTGGCCTGCTTTCTGGAACTTCAGATGCGCTTCGGCTGTCAGTGCCTGTGCCAGCACCTTCGTCTCCTGCAGCTTTCTTCTTGAGATCGTCGGCAGAGTCAACGATGGGCCAAACGAATCCTGTTCGAGGAATATAGTCCGGACGCCGACTTCGCAGCATGTCCAAGGAAGACTGCAGCGAGCAGACTGACGTCAGCTACAAACTGATTGAACTCCATCGAATTCCATAGTAAAGCAAATCACACCAGTCGATTGGAAAGCACAGTGTAGACGTCAGGAGACTGATATATCCTGTTGTTCATGATAAAATACGCAGCCAGGGGGCGAACTGGCTGTCATTTCAAAAAGTCGAAAGAACACGGCGCTGTCTCAGAAATACCTTCGTCGGGAGACAGTCGTTCGCGCTTGTGGATGATGAACATGGACGGCGGCTCAGCATGTACAACGGCAAATTCGACTCCAGTAAAGCGTCTATTCTGACGTTTAGCTTCCTGACGAATATTGTGGTGCCCTCGCGGCATGCCTGAGTTCCTCAGCTTCGTTCGCTATAGCAGTCCCCGTATGCATAGTCTGCATGCGCAAGACCTGGTTGTTGCTTTGCTTGTCGTAGAACATGGAAGTCGTGAAGTATTCAAACACATTTTCAGTCGTTAATGGTCCGTTCGCCTATGTAACGTGCTTCAGTGGGTTAACTGTGCGCTGGGACAAACGGTACCTGGATCCATTCGTGCCAGATGAAGAACCTGTGACTATAGTCATCAGCGGGATGAAGATCGCTGACGTCCATTCAGCGCGCGTTGAAGGGCTAGTGACGCGTCGAGACGCTAGTTGTCGTGCAGCGGTGTTGAGAGTTCTCGACAAGACGCGGTAAGCGTGTGACATCGGCTCACAACATCCGGCAACGAAATTCTGTCAAGTTGGACTCGTTCGACAGAACGAGAATGTTCATATTATACATGTAACGCTAAACTGGATCGACTGCGCCAACAACTAAAGCTCTGATAAATAAGATTTCATTTGGGTTTAGCAGATTACGGTAAATTGTACAGGCTTTGTGTTCAGCGAATAGATAAACGTGTTAAACAGCAAGAAAGGGAAGGGGAAGGAAAGAAAAGGAAGCAGACAGCAGTATTGCTGATCTTCAGAGAAAGATAAAGCATTAAAAAGTTGTCGAGCGAAACCGCTCTAATAAAGAAATTCATCTCGAGATCACGTTCGTCGCGGGGCCAAGCACAGAAGACAGGGCGGTACGATACGCAACACATCGAATGACGCAGGAAGGGAAACAGATTCTGGGTTGAGCCAAGAGGGCTAGCGACCAGAAACTGCGGAGCCGCCTGAATAGTGACGTAAGCCTGCGCAAAACAGTCAGTGAACTGCGAGCCGTAAGTTTTGTTCGGGGATCTTACACGAAAAGAAGTAGCGCGATAGAAAGCAGTTGATCTAGGTGCAGTCGCAGTCGACTGCGTGGCCGACAAGTCCCTTTCCGCAGCGGTCACACCACCTGCGCGTTCCTTGTTCCACGCCGATGGACTTTTTGGAACCCACAGAATGGTGGGAAGAGCACACAGACCCCTCGCGTTGCGACTCGTCGCGATGGATGCTGATGAGATGACGTCCAAGATCGTGCTTGCGACTGAACGAGCGGCCGCAGGAGCGGTGGGGGCAGACGTGGGGTTTCAGTCTGTTGGGGTCGTGCGTGGCCATGTGCGTTTTGAGATTGTACGCTCTAGCGAAAGCTACGAGAAGAAGGGAAGGGTGAGCAGCGGAACATGGCATAAAATGCGGGGGAGCTGACCTCTTGGGCATGCGGAGCACTTATATTTCTTGCGCGCATCACCCTTGTAATCTTCCTCCTCCGGTACGTGTGCCATCTGCCCAGCTGGGATGGTGGGTAGCTGCGTAGATATGTGGGATGGGGAGACGGTTGGACCGGCGAGGGGTTGGGTGTTAAAGTTGAGTTGACTGTACAAATCAACTGGCACGGAGGGGCGCGTGGAGGAGGGACCGTAATCTGAAAAAGTGGTACGCGGATTGTACGCCTTTGTATACGGTTTCGTGTTGCTGCGGGACGTATCAGGCGCCGCGCTGGTGCCAAAAGACATGCGATCTGCTGCGGCATCAGAGCTTGCCTGGGCTGCGGCGTATTCTGATGCAGCATCCACGCGAATCCGCTGGAAATCCATCTCCAGGTCGAGGGGGAAGGAGTAGTTGGAAGGAGGTTGGGGTGAATGAGGGTAGTTATAGAAAGACTCGGAGTAGGACGAGAGGGAGTCATATGCAGACTCGGAGGAGGCAGTTATGTTGGATGGGGGGCCCCGCGTAGGCGTGTCAGACCTGAAAAACGAGTATGCGTCGTGGGAGTCGACGGTGAGGAGCTGAAGTTGGTTATCATCGAATCCGGCAAGACTCGAGTCGAGTTCAAGCTCGAAGAGATCGGGATGGGGTGCGAGGATGTCAGAGGGGGTCTGAAACGACGCAAAGTCGAGGGTCTTGTTGTAGTCCGCGTTAAAGTCGTCGAAGACTGTGCTGGATGCATACTGCGTGCCCTGTGGATTGGACATGTTGCTGGACTAATATGAGGGCGAGTCAAGGAAGAGGGTAAGGAGAGAAAGGTTACCAAACACTGCCTTGACTGCGCTATCAGGTGACAAATTGACATCTAGACGGCCATTTAGGACCGTCGCGACTCAACCAACGCTCAAGCGCTCAAGAGCATCCAATCCTTCAATACAGCGCGCCCACAGTTCCCTTCCTCCGGATGCCAACGAATAAACAACCCAGTCACAAGGCAATCTCAAACGTCTCCACAGTTGATCGCAAACACTACGTGTCTCCGTCGTGTCCAGCGACGTGTAATTGCCTGCAGTAGGCCTGCAACTTGAAGCACTGCGTTCGTCTTTCGGGGGTGCAGAGATCGCCTCATTTCCGAAGCTGGTCTTGTCTCGGCTCACTGCTCTAAATTCCGTGCTCATTTCCGGCCTTGGTTGTCCCAATGATTCCAAGGGCCGTTTCGTTCTCGGAATCCACTTGTGAACATCGTGCAGTCATCTTGCTACCAGTCGATAAGTCGATAATCTCCAGAACGTTGACTCCCGGTTGAAACCTTCTGCCTGACCATATGGTGGCACTCAGCTTACAAATGCGCCTTGCTAGCTCAATCGGTAGAGCGTGAGACTCTTATAGCAGGAGTTGATCTCAAGGTTGCGGGTTCGACCCCCGCGTGGGGCTATTCGGTTAACTTTTTCCCTGCTTAACTTTCTTGCTCAAGACACAATTCAGTCTTTTCCCTGGTGAGCAAAGAAAGTTTCATGTGGTACAATTTTCTCCAAGAAACCATTTTGCTCGGTTCATCCACCTCCTTAAACGGATCGTGTACAGCTGCCAAGTTTGAACGCAATAAGCTATTCAGCCTTTCCAATTCGTTCGATCCGAGGTCTGTACAAGATGAAGACGTCGCTGCCTTCACCAACAATTCAGATGACTGGTTCTCTATATTTGTGAATGATACAGTACATATCACTCAAATGGCTTAGCTAGATTTATTTGGCCAGGCAATCTTCTTGCAATCTATACTCGTATCTGCGCATAAGCGTGCTTGTTGGGAGCGGCAAAGTGTTGACTGCCCGATAATGGCGGGACGCCCAACTGCGGTAGCATTATAACCTTCAAGACGATCCAGATTCTGCGTAGATTGATATCGTATGACAAGGATTCAGATGAGTAGATGGAACCTCTGGAGCGGGTCGAGCACGAGAGAAGAAAATACAGATGGATAACAAGATAAGGTGCACATGATAGGTTGCGCGGCGACTTTCTGCAGCAGGACAGGAGAAGAAAGTTGAACGGCAACAATAAAGGGATACCGCCAGCTTGGATCTTATGTACCACTACTACGCGGTGCTTGCAAAGGAAAACTGAAAGATATATAACGGCAGTGGTCACAGATAGAAAAACCCGTTCACCGCGACGGTGACAAACGATAAGATTGAGTTTGACGATGCCAAGTTTAGACAGGGAAAGCCAGTGTCGGACCAGGAAAAAGCCGGAGGATTGCGTTGGATTATGGACAAGCTGGTGACCCGAGGCATGGCCAGACGAATTGGTATGTGTCGAGCGACTCCAGCCCCCAGATGAAGTGTGTGATGTACAGCAGTAGATTCTAAGTTTGAATCGAGCTCGAGTGACCGACAAACTTGAAGAATGTATAGGTCCACAACTTGTGGTAGAGATTCCTTTCCCCAGGAGTAGACTCGAAGGCAAAGCCGTGTTCCAAGTCAAGGGTGCGCACGGACCAAATTCGGCATCAGCCGGCTTGTTTCAATCTGTTTGCCTCTCCCAATTACCATCCCCGAAAAAAAAATGGCGGCCTCTCCCAGCGCCGCTGACGAGGTCCAGGACAACTGGGGACCCTCTGACGATGCTGCCCTGGGGTCTCGGCGCAGTGCTGAACCTGCCAATGACCCTCTACCTGTTGACGATCGTGGTCAGGATCCAAACGACCCCGTAGACTATCCTCGCGGCTCTAGCGTAGGCACTGTCTCTGTGCACAAGGGCGACAATTACCGGGAAAAGCAAGTCAAGGTGCTTATTCGGTCTTTCCTTGGTATTGCTTGCTCGTGTAGAGAAAAAAAGTCGCTCGTGGCCTGGCATACATGGCAACGTCTCCGCTCGCGCTGTCTGTGACGCCCAAATGCCTTACTTGCTTACTGTTGCGAGGCTTAACCTTTGGCTCGGGCCCTTGACCACGCCTTCTTGTCTTTCCACATGTGTCGCAACTGGGTGTTTACTTTCTGCTGTCCAGCCGAACAAGGTCTATATTGGTGGTCTCCCCGAACATACTCGTCCAGAGGACTTGCAAGGCTGCTTTGGCCAGATAGGCAACATCACTAACATCGAACTAAAGTATGTGGTGCTCTCCTGGCTAGGCAACGCGTGTCTGAACGAACCCTCCCAGAATCGGATACGGCTTCGTGGTATGTTCTTACTGCATACTCCCTGCGCTCTTTGTCACTCTTGTTGCAGGAATTCGACAGCCGTCAAGCTGCCGAAGAAAGCGTTGCCAAGTATCACGAGGGCCATTTTATGGGCAACAAAATTCGAGTGGAGCTTTCCCACGGGGGCGGCAGGACTGCAAAATACACTGGGGATCCAGGAGCCTGCTTCAAGTGCGGCAATATGGGACATTGGGCCAGGTGAGCTTCTCTCCGTCACCTATTCTCATTGCTTATTCGGAGAACAGAGAATGCCCGAACGCAGCACAGTATGCATCATCTTTCTCACTTACATCCTTTGACCTAATCTCGCTCTACAGGAGCCCCCCACGCCGTATGAGCGAAGCGCCCCCGATCGACCGTGGTCGCGACTACGCACCACTCCCTCCTCGTGATGTACCCCCGCCGCGCGACTCTCGCTATGACTATCCTTCAAGTCGGGATTACCGAAGAGCCCCTTCGCCTCCGCGGGATTATCGCGACTATCCTCCTGCGCCTCCTGTGGGCAGGGGTAGAGACTACGACGATTACAGGCGCGGCCCTCCCGTTGCTGACCGCGATCGCTATGTTCCTCCCGTGCCACCTCAGGACTACCGAGGAGGGCGCTACCCTCCGCCTCCAGATCCTGCTTACCGTGGCTATGGTGGACCTCCTCCGCCCCCTCCACCTCAGTACGATCGTTACGATAGAAGACCTCACGAGCGATACCCCCCTTATCCTCCTGCCGCTGGTGGTAGAGCTCGAACTCCTCCCAGGGGTCGTGATGACTACGACAGAGCCCCACCGCCTCGGTACACTTGATTCTTTTCAAGAGAGATGCAATCTGAATTCTGACCAGGGATTATACCGATTACCGTGGGCGTCCGCCTTCACCCCCTCCGTCGCGCTATGCGAACGATTACCCTCGGGGTGGCCCTCCGGACGTGGCAGCCCCAAGATATAGGTAGTGTCACTTTCTTTATATCTAACGCCCTAATTGACGTAGGCATAACAGGCGCCGCTCGGAAAGCCCGCCTCCTCGATCCTCAGGCGGTGCCTATGAACCTGGCTATACGGCTGGTGGCGGGAACGGTGGAGGCTTTTCTGGCAACGGCTACTCCGGTCCCCCTAGGTCTCGCGATTACCCTCCTCCTGCGCGCAATGGACGAGACGCTCCTGATGCTGGTGGCTACAGACGGCCTTGAAGCTCTGTGTCTCACTGTTCAAAAAATACGCTATTTCACCCAGGACGCTTGAATGTCCGACTCTTATACTTCTTTCCATGCGATGCTGACCATCGAATGCAAATGTCTATGTTCATGTTACTTATATGTGTAAAAAGTTAGCTAGTATTACGCCCCGGCCATTTTATATAAGGCATGCTTGTCGCCAGACTCGTCTACGAGCGCCCGAAGCTTGCCGTGCTTGTTCTTGAGGAGTTCCTTCGGAGTGTCGAACTCGACCTGTGCATCCGCTGATCAGTATGGTGGATAGTGTGCAAATAAGCTAATCGTACAATGCGACCTGCATCGAGAACCATCTACACGAGTATAAGTACGGGAACAGCGCCATGAAACCGTTGCTTACAATTTTATCAGCATCCATGATCGTCTACGGAGAAAATCAGTATATCGTCGACATTTAGCCATCCGCACTTGCCTGCAGCCGATGGGCCACAGTCAGGAGCGTCGTGTCCTTGGGCAACTCATTCCGGAGGGAGGACTGAATGACCGAGTCTTTTCACAATGAAGTCAGCCGGGCGATAGTTTATCACCGAGGTTTTTACCTGTCTTATAATCTTTCCGCAGTGACATTAGGTAATAGTTCATGGCATGAATTTTTCATACCTATGGCTGACGTTGCCTCGTCGAGAATCAACAGCTTACTACCACGAACGATAGCACGAGCTGCAGAAGCAGAATAAGCACACAAATCAGTTCGAAATATGTCACAAACCTAAGGCAAGGATTTGCCGTTGCCCCACTGCGAAATCAATTGAATAAAAAACCTTCAGCAGCGAAGAAATTCATACCACTCAGGTTATTCCCACCGCTGGAAATCTCACTGTCCAAAGTGATCTTTCCATCGTCCATCTCGCTCTGGAGCGCGAACAGGCCCGCAGCTCGTAGCGCGCTATTGAGTGTTGCGTCATCGTATTGCTCGAATAGATCAAGATTCTTTCTGAGCGAGCCCGTCAACAGCTCGGGGATTTGCGGAATGATGGTGATATTCGAGCGCAGCGCGTCGAGGTTGAGGGACGAAGTTGGTATCCCGTCGTACAGGACCGTTCCTTCCGTGAATATACATCTCAGGAGAGCGAGCGTCAAGGAACTTTTGCCGGATCCGGTTCGTCCCACAACTCCCACACGTTCACCAGACTGGATGTTGAAGGAGACATCGTGGAGGACCTTGGGTCCATCGGCCGAATACTTCGCCGACAGTTGAGAAACACTCAGGTTCCCGCTAGAGGGCCAATAAGCAGGCGGCGTCCCGGCAGCGGTCGGTTTGGCTTCCTGTTCGATGTCGATATATCCTCGGATTCGTTCAAGCGAATTGCCTTGGATCTCAAAGTCGTTCAACACCCGGACCTGTTGAGAGTCAAAGGTTGCCTGGAAACAGAAAATCCGCATTACGTACCCACCACAAGATCATGCCCGAGAATCCGATGGCCTGTAAATTTGTCAGTTCGGAGCAGTAGAGAAAACGAGACGTTCAAGCTGAACCCACCATATTCAAGCTGAAGCCCACATTGGACGGTGAGTGGGCTTGGAAGTAAACCAGGTAGTATGCCAAGGAGGCAGCCTGAGAAAAAAATCAGGAAAACTCGATTTTGATGTCGAAATAAAACGAACAAAGAGGCCGCCTAGAACATCTACGGAAAGGAATCAATGCAAGGTCTTGAATACCGAACATCCACTTACCAATCCGCACACACACCCACCGGTTGAGATTGTAGAACGTTCTTGCTGTGCGTGTGTACTTGTCAATGCGTTCAAGCGAAATATTCGTGATAGAGTCTTGTGCTCCATAAGCGCGAATAGACGCCAACCCATTCAAGGACGCTCCGAAGCTGGAAAAATTTATATCAATGGCCGGTGTAGACAGCTCGAGGCTTTGCGTACTGCCCGAGAACTGGTGCCTGGAAAGTGAGAGTTAGGACTGATAACCGGTCGATGCGGAGAGATTACTTTGGCGTTGCTCATCTCGCGTTTGACGCTTAGCTGCGCGGCAATATATATTTGCTAAATGTTTGTTAGC